TCGTTGTACAATTCACCTTTTTCCTACGCGCTTTTGTTTTCTAACAGATTCTTGTGATTGTGCATCGCTCTATTTACGCGGATTTCCTCTACGGAACGCTCCCGGGCAAAATCCTCACGACCATCGCGGGGAAGTTGCATATCTTCTTCTTGCTCTCCAGCCCTCTCGTAGCCTTCTCCCTTCTCCGCGCTTCCCTCTGGATTCCGGTACGTCCCATTTTGTTATGATCTTGGCAAACCACTGCCTCTTCCTCCCACATAAATGGGCCATTTTATGGGATTCGGTGCTATTGAGTGTACTGGTATTGACCAGAAATCGCCATTCTTCCAACTCAACATCGTGTCAGCAATGCTGTGAGATGCATTTCACAGCATTCTTTCTTATTAATCTCTAGTCGCAGTGAATTTTTGCTGAACGCTTCTGCTTGAATTCCACCACCGTTCATAATGTCAAATGTAGGATTAAATTTAATTGGTTGGTCTAACTTGCCTAATGGAGGAATATATTGATCTCGAATACTAGAAATTTGAATAGGAACTGTGTTGAGTTCTAGAAAACATCGCTGGCTTCCTTTCCTGAAAAGCGATTCGTTCAAGCTGTTTGTATAGCGGATTGGTTGTCATTACCTCTAATAGAAACATTGGAGAATTCCTCGACTTCGACTAGAGGTAGAACACGGAAAGCATAATAACGCACGTGTCTATCAGTTGTTTAATGAAATTGGCGCTCGATGGCGCATTTTTAGAAAGGACACTCCATCATCTATTTCTAATTGTGAAAAGGGGAAAAAGTGGGTGTGTGTTTGTGTGTGTGCCTAAATGTTAATTGGCGCACCACGTTGTGAACAGTCGCTTTTCTTCTTAACTGATAAATGTCTTCCTCCCTAAAGTCATTCCACTGATGTTTTGTAGCATATTGGTGCATATCCTCCTAATTCCATTCTAAGATTGAAATATCACCTTTAATGATGGAGGTGGCCGCCCTCATCTAGACATCCCTCATTGAAATTCCTCTACTTTAGAGAGCAATGCGAAGATTTTGAAGCTAAACCACAAATTGTCGCCTACTTACCGCAATTTGAAATGCCTTCACTAGTAATTCCACCCGGTCTCATCATTATCATCACTAGGTCACTTAATTATTGCTTTGCTTTTTTAGGTATTCAATTCCGTATATTGGATAGGCTTCGTCTACCTCTTGGGGCCAATTGCAATGCCCCTAGTGAAACGCCTCTTCCCTCCCAAGGACTCCAAGCCCTCCACTCCTGTCTCCAACTAGATGGAACTCCCTCCGTATTGCCCAAGGCTTCTTCACTTCCGGCTTTTTTCCTTTGTGTATACAGTGTGTGTGTGTGTGTGTGTGTGTGTGTGTGTGTGTAATGGGAAATATTTCTTCACCCAATTCATCGCTTTCATCGTGCTCCACTGTCTAATAGCTACCATTTTCTGAGCTCTCTCATTCCTCTTTTTTTGTCCTCATCGGTGTAGCTATTTGTTTTTTTGGTTTGATTGATGGATTGATTGAAGTAATAGATCAATGTTGGAAGGTGCAATAATTGAACATTTTATTTGGCGAGAGAGAGAGAGAGAGAGTAGTGGTAGAAGGGGGTTGGCCATGTTACCGCTATGTCGAAAAAGTTACCAAGGGGGAGAGAGAGCACTGAGTCATGTGCAGAATGAAATGGGTGAGGGAAAAATTGTTTAACGAATCATTCTTTGCTCATACTAAGTTGACTTCTCGTTCACTAGAATTTTAATCTATGCGGGATTATACCTACCTTCTCTATGAAATTTCCTTAAAAAAGAGGCCTCAAATTAATTTTTTAACATGTAATGATTTTATATGATGTGCGTTAGACTTACCTTCACGTGGTGCACCCTGGACAACGTATAATCATGCGGCATAAAAGTCTATTAACTGGTGGTTGACTTCTGACTCCAAACTACCGTGACCCCGGTGCATGTCATATTCGACCACTATCACAGTACTCATCTTACCTTTTCTCTGTTTTGTGTCTGTCTGTCTCATTTACATCTGTGAATCGTTATTCTATCCCCCCCCCCTCTCGACTTTTTGTCACTTTAGCTAAAGGGCTAATGACAACTGCCAAAACGGTCTGCCCTATGAAATAAATATATATATATATACTTTATGTGAAGATATTGGCAAAGCTAGTCAGCTTGTTTAAAGGTACTTGGCCAATTAAAGTGAGTGATGTGGAGAAAAGGAAACATCCGCATTCTCGAAAAAGGCCCCCCCCCCCCCCCACCAGACTGCTATGTAGCATAATCAGCCCATTTGTACGGTGGGTCACAATTGGTCAGGCCCTGGAGTGGGGGAGAGAGAGAGAAATGAAGACAGAAGCGCATTTACCCCCTCCCCAGATCTTTATCGACTTCATTTAGAGCCTATTTACATGTTTAAATGGATGGTGATTGAACAGAGGAGATTTCATTAACCAATGGTGATTATTGCTATTCCATGCCAAATATGGCAAAATATGATTTGTCAGACATCGGATCAATCAATGAATGCCTGGTTGACCTCGTCGTGTAATTTGCATTGGTCATGAAGTGACATTGGCGTGGTGATGGTGCATGACAGAATATTTTTCACCTTCTTGCGGCAAAATTAGAGGCACTCTCGATTAGCTATAAGTTCGAGTGCTCTTCTGGGTAAGATATTTGTCACAAGACCTACTGAAATAGATAGCTTGATGTAGGCACTTTTAAATTCTCACTTTGAAGATGATGTAGATGTAGAGAAAATAGTTTACCTTAGTCAAATATGAAACCGATTTGTGAAATGAATAATTTTAAAATGGTTAATGCAGTAAGCGCCATATGCGGCAATACTTTGTCGAGGGCGAAGATGGAAAGGGATAATGCGCATGTTAAAAGGTGTAGAGGGATTGGTTAACTTTTAAAAGAACTGACTTCACTCGAGAATAGGGGGGGGTGCTCAATTGGCCACCAGACGCATATGCTTCACTTTCTAATTGCTATGTAGCAATTGACGATTAGAGCACTTATGGGTGCCTACCTAATGAACCGCTTGACAAACATCCCAGTCAGAATAAATAGATAACGGAGGAGGATCCTGGACGCATTTCCTTCATTCCATAAGAATGTCAGTAAAAAAGCTTATCTCTAGCAGACGTGGGCATTCTTATAAAAACGTATGTGAGTAATACTCAATCGGAAAAGTTCTCATCTTAAGTTTACGATGACCATTAATTGCATATCATCTGTTTGTATAACCCCAATTTATCCTCCTACATGATTTTATGTTCTCTAAGGTCTTATAGCATGATATTGTTTAATTTTAAATTTTGAGAAAGTTATGAAATGCGGGTTGACGTTACAATATTTACAAACTCTACTTTTACGGTTTTTGTAAATAACAAATTTGGAGAACAAATTATGAGTACGCGATTGACCTTTTTAAGTTTATTATTTAATCGCAAATTTTATCGTCACCTAATTGTGACCTTTTAAGGTCAAACAATCATATTGAGATACATCGGTAATTTGTGAATATCGTCAAATTTTAGCCCTCTGCACTACTCATGAAGCCTGAAAAGGTCAAAATCATCTTTTCACCAACTATCAATAGACAATATTACGGTTAAACTTCGACTGAATTTGGTCACATTGAACGTGTATAGCGCTCTGCATGACTTTAATTGTTGACGCCTATAGCATATTACCAGGTCCTAAGCCAATATTTTCGTGCAGAAAAATGTTATTAATCATTTAAAGTTCCTGCTAAAATGAACGAGAAAGAGTTCTGTTCGTCTTCATTTGATGGCTGAATAAAGTTATCAATTGATAAAGTTGAAAACTCAATCGTTTTCTGTGTAAAGAATGCATAAAGGAAAATTCAGGAGAATTTGGGAATGAGATTGAACTTAATCAATATTGAGTGATGAATTGCGTTTTAGTGTATTTATATTTGGTTTGATTCAATCAAAGTTCTGAAAGGCGTTTTTAAAACTCTAGAATTAGGAAGGAACACTTCTATTTTGAGAAAACGATTAATTTTTTTAATTAATTAATCAGGAAGATACGTGTACTACATTTCCTCATCAGCTAATGTAATGCAAAATATGCATACTAATAAGAGCAGACACAAGAAGGTCACTAATTAAGTCACATGATCCTATTTAGGATTTTTAATCTTAATCTGGCATAGTTAGTACAATGATTAATCTAGTGATTTAGCACCATTATTAAGTAATAAATAAAAATAACAAGTATAAGATTTCATTTTAGCATTTGTGATGATTTGGTAATTGAGCTTGTTTCTAATCAGTATTTTCAAACAATATGTCTACAAATTTTCTTTACCATCCTGCCAACCGTATATATCTGATACCTCATGATAATTTGTAAAGTAATTTATCTCCATTTAACAAAGCAATGCAATTTTCAAATTGAATTTATTATTGGAAATCTGAATAATTAAGGAAATTTAAGAATTCGTTTAAAGAGTAACTACTCCATTTTCCATGTTAACTCAAAGGCTTAAAATCTTTAATTCCAGTGCTTAATTTCACAGTCAATATATTTTGGTTAAATAAATTGTTAATAACTATCAACACAGCATGACTATAAATAATCTTAAAACCTTTAATAACTATATATCTTTTAATAATTAAAATTTTCAAATATTGAAACGCTTGTTTTAGTCAGTTCTTTCAGGACGATAAACGAATTTGTTGAAATATAATTGGTTAGTGCCGTACACTGTGTCTGATAAACTATTGGCTATCTACTAAACCAATGATTATTGTGCTCTTCCATTACTGGTAGTTGCTGTTCGGTCATTTGCATTTGATCGTTTCGTCGTGCGGTTTATGAGCTGATGAAGAATTTGAAGAAAAATCAATATTCCTTGGTAAGTATTTTTGTTGAAGTAATTTTCTTCACCAGCGAAAGTCTTTAACAAAGGATAAGTCAATAAATACCTCTACAAAATCGAACCAATTGACCAAAACCATGGTTCGAACATCCAAGGATGAAAAGCTTAAAGCTGGCGTCAAACGGACTCGTGGCAGGCCTCGCACTAAAGAACCTAGAAATTCTCCACCATCAAAGCGACATAAGCTATCAAATATTGGCTCTACAAATGGCACGAAATCGCCTCAAAAGGAGGGGAGCTTGAGCCCTAGTCATCAAGAACCGCCTCAACTTGAACCAATGCCTGCCGTGGAAGAAGAAGATGGCATTGACATTCCATTAGGTTACACTGGTCTTAATTCAGTTGACGAGCATCTTCTACCCGGAAAATGTATTGTTATCTGCCCCCTTTCTTCATGTCGCAAAAAGTACGCCAATCCAATCGACCTCGTCTCCCATCTTCGAAATTTTCATGAAAAGGATAAATTTTCCTCCCTGAAAATTTTCACTTGTCCCACTTGCTTAAAGACCCGTTTCAGTTCACATACTACAAGCTCTGATTTAACTCTTCTGTCTGAGCATGCTGAGCGTTATCATGGACAAACTTTGAGCCAGGTAATTATATCAGCTTTGCCCTTAACTGTATTTCCTTTAGAATGACTTTGTTTACTTCTGTACCGTCGTAATGGACATCTTAACTGATGACAAAGCTACTCAAAAGAGGGAAGAAAATGATGTCAAGCAAGAATGTGTACCCAATGATCAATGTCAAAATTCCGATACACTTTATCATCCCATATTTCCTTTGGTGCCTAATTCTACAATGGTCTCAGATAATAGCTCTGGTATGTTTCTTCATGTTAAGCTTTTCTTAGTCTATTTATTTTTTTCTCTTTAACTTGTTATAATGTTAGGCTCTGAATTAATTGCATTAATTTTAGTGAAAAATTACGCTTATTTTAAGTTGATGGTTTTTATTACCTGCATTTTATCATATGCTGGTTTTACATTCTCTTGGCAAGTACCCAATCAGATCTTTCCAATGGCTTTTGACCAATAAGTGAGGGGTGCCTTCGGGCACCAACCAATAATATGACCTCGTTCAATTCTCTAATTCACCTAATTCCTTGTCGTGCGTGCGTATGTGGCGCCAACGGCAAGCGTTCTCGTCTCATATCATCACACGAACGCAGTGCTTTTAAAACAATATTCGTTTTAATGAACAAATTTTGACCTTAAATTAGGCGGTGCTTTCAATCACCAATGTTCTCTTAGTATTAGTTTTCTTCTTTTTGGTATAGCTTTAATGATACTTAAGTTCGAGTTTTATTATTTCCAGGCTATTCAATTTCGAACTTAAATGATTGGCTTTCATTTTCACATTGTCTTTACTCTGATAATTGATTATTTTAGTCTTATTTAGTATTTGTCGTGTAATGTAAGCGCGGGGTTTCATAATCAAAATTTAGCTTGTTGATTGTATTATTTTGTTTGTAATAGTTTCTGCTGTTTTTCTTGATTCGTGTACTCTTTGTCTGTCTTAAAAGCAGGGCTTATTTTGTAGCACTGAACTTCATTGAAAATGAGCAAGTTTCTGCTTCTCTTTTACTCTTTTTGGGAATCGTTCCAGCTCTATTGCTTATCAGTCTTCTCTAAAGTTTGAACATTTCTGAAATTTTGTTAATTGAAAGGCTGCCTTGGATATTCACATAGATATCACGAATTGCTTAGTAAACTTCATGTTTTACTTGCGAAAGAAGTAGAGTTAGCTATTACTTCTTTTCAGATAGTTAAAGTGCCTATTATTGAATTATAGGGTAAGATTTGCATTCAGTGAACGCATCACTTGTGTTAATCTTTCTGGTCCCATCGGTTTGATTAATTTTTTCCAGCCATGAGCGATAGCATTTGTCGTATTCTGCAACCGCGTCTGCCACCATGCCTCATAGCCAATGACAAGCCTGACACGCACATGCGCACCGCGAGGAGTTGTGTGCGTGTTGCTCAACTTGAGCCTTATTGGCTTGTTCCTGAGGCTTGCCATCGTGGTGACATCAACGAGCATTTCTATTGGTCAGCTATTACCCAATTAACTTCTAAAATGTCATTTTCACTAAATCTTCTATCGACCAAGCCTGGTATAATTCACTGGCTTCTTATTCACTCATTGTGAAATTATCTATAACCTAGAAATCGAAAACTGGATTGGTGCTGTCGAATTAATGGATGAATTTTAATGTCTTCACATAAAGCTTGAGTTTAAAATTAAATGGTCTGATTTCACCCAGTTTTTGGCCACCATTGTCACCGAAGACTATAGTTTTCTGAATAACTTATTTATTGTAACAACCTAATAAAAAGCTTTCAATTTCGTTTATAAGTGTTGGGATTATTTATATGACACCCAATTGTGTGGACACAGCGATATGTCATAGATTCGTTATTTACCACAGCTGTTGACCAATCAATGAAATTCACCATTTATAGCTTCCCCATGGAAAGTCACGTTTTGTTTATAACCGAAGTAAACGTATTTTGTTTTGTAAGCGGTAGCTCACTATCTAGAGGGTCAAAAGGTCTAGGAACTTGAAAAGGAAACAGTGCTGGATATAATTTAGTTAACATTTTTATTCCCTTGGGATTGTCGTATATTTCGATTCAAATTCTCAAGTTAAAAGTACTCTCAATTTACTAGAGTACAAAGTCTATTGAAGTAAAAGTGGCAAGTATTTGCTTACTACAGTATTTTAAGTTTAATTATTGTTTGAATTTTTTAATTAGAATCAAGTGCAAATAAAGTTGCTCGAGTAAATACAGACAGTCTGGGTTTGAGAATACCCTCACAAACTGGACATTTTATTCAAATATCTCCCGTTACTCAAAGTCTACCCAACAATGCTCCCGCAGCGGTATCTGGTACAGCAGCACCACCGCCATATTTTGCTGCCCTGGCTGCAGTGGCAGGTCAATTGCCCTCAGGAGCATTTCTCCTCTCTTCATCGTCCACTTCGAACCCCGTTGTCACGACGAAGGCATCTGCTGAGCAACACATTCTTATTGCTCCTTCTTCGAGTATTTGTACATCTCCGTCAAAACCCCTTCCAGGTATGTTTGAAATACCCACAAGGAGATAGTAAGTAGACCTGGTACTAGTAGTAGTGTTAAGTGTTTGCCAATGTGTTTGTCTGCCTCGTGTGCGTGGGTGCGTGCATGCACTTCTGTCCGATGCAGCCATTGGTTCGAACTCCAGTTGCAACTGCAACTGGTTGTGTGATTGGTTGACTCTTCATCTCGCATTCTAATTGGTAAAGTGGGATATAAACATTAATTTATCCTATTTCATCTCCTGGTTGTCATGAGGTTAGCTTTCTCTAATGAAATAATGTCAACACATCTATTCATCGGTTCGTTGCTTTAGAACAGGGTTGTGCTATAGCAAATATGCACTCGATTCATTTGAGCATGTTGCCCTTTATAAGGAATTATTTACTACTTCTTTAAATAAGTAGAAGTGCAATTTACACATGTGTACATGAATTGATGATTGTCTTGTTTATTTCTTCAGTGCTCATTACGTCCTCTTCAGCCGTTGGCGATACCAACCACACCGCCAGTATCAGCAACAACCTTCAACCACCCCAATCACCTACTGCCGCAGCTGCCATAGCAACACTCAAGCAGCTCATCCAATCAGCTTCGACTACTCTGAAGCCCCACCAACACCAGGCACCATCGCAAACCACTCCGGCCATCACCTTGAGTAATACTTCATTCTTACCTTCTCCCTCTGCTCTTCCTCAAATCACACCTTCCACCTCTCCTGGTATGTATTTTGCCTCGTCCCATTATGCCTTTGTGAAAGTGGGTATTTTGGAAAATAATCAGTCATTTCAATTGTACGTTAATGTCGTACCTTCATTTGCTCGCAGTCTTCGTAAGGCCCTTTTAATCTTATCATTTAATAAGGTTGTTGAACAATCTAAATTGATGGGTAGTAGAGTTCAAAGCATTTAGATTTTAATTGAGTGGGGACGACTATTGACTATGCTACTATTCTCTACCGGTAAGTACTCCCATTTTCCCGTGAAGTCCCAATTTCCGTATCAGACGAACGCAATTGGTGTTTAAATTCTTGTGATTCCTGATTTACGGTCTACCCAGACATTCGCTCTCAAAACTCATCAAATGAGAGTCGGAGTTTTTGAGCTTTTAATGATTATAATGAGTAGCCAATGGTGCAATTTTACCGTTTTTTTCACTTAATACTAGAGGCTTAACTTATTCCTCCCTCTTCTGACCATTTAATAGATTAATTTCACCTAATGTTGGAGAAAAGCATCGATCTTTCAAGTCAAGGAAATAGATTCAATTTTTTATTTAAAACCCAGCCTACTCTGTTGTCTACTCGTGGTGCTATTATTACTGTACCAGGATGGGCCAATTTTAGGAAAGATGTTGTTTTAAGTTCTTTAAATTCATCTTAACATCCTTTTGTGAGTGAATGCATGCTCCCGATTTTAATTTGCCCCTTTGCTAGCTTTTCATCTGCACTGCTATTTGTTGTGTCATTTGAAGGCTCTATTGACTCTTCTTTGTTTAGTGACAAAAATGGGTACAAGATTCGAACATCCTTCGTCGACTTCGATTGGTTGTCCCCTTGCACAAGGCGGAGGCTCATTGGTCACTTCTCCTGGGGCTGAATTGGAAACAACAACGGACTTGAGCTCGTATGCTTCAGCCAATGCTGACCTTCTTACTCTCGCTCGTCTCTCTGTTAATCAGGCTACTGCCGATGCTCTAAATAATAGTGCCAACAACACAGCCACCACCTCCAATTCTGCGAATAATCAGCAGAGTGCTGGTAGCGTGGTGGTTCAGGAGAGTACGACTCTAGTGATGCCGCAACAAACAACCAGCCAATTGCCCTCATCTTCTTCAACTACGCCATTGAGGAATCGGCGGTTGCTTCCACGTAAAACAGCCCCACTCTCTCCTGCTCCAATTTCAGTTGCTGGCCAGGCAAATCAGCCTGTCAGCGCTGGCACCCAAGTTCCAATTCGAAAACGCGTGGCCCTGCCTCCCCTAGCTGTTAAGCCTCCTAAAGAGGTGACACCAACACCTACCACTCTTGATGGTACTACAGGGGCATCAGTGGTGACAGCAGGGACATGTGTTTCCGAGGAAGCACCTGTGATGACAGCTGCTTTGATTAATCCCTCTTCGGCTGCTCCTAGCGCCGCCGCCGCCACCACCCTCATTCCATCAACTCTGAATAACATGCTGGCTAGATCAAGACTACTGGCAAGCACTTCCACCACTTCTACGGCAACTTCATTCATCAACGTGCCGGTTCGACCTGTCATCTCAGCTACCACCGCATTGGCGGCGGCGGCGGCTGCTGCTGCCGTGGTGCCTTCTTCGACTTCCAACAATACTCAGCAGTCCAGTATTCCGCCCCCTTCTCAACACCTCATACAACGCATATTGCCCACCATTCGACCAAGTGAGTTTTTTGGGTGTTAGTAAAATAGGCAATTTTGGGTAACTTAGAAAGGGTTATTAAAACAGTCGAATTCTTCTTCAACTCGGATTTTCCACTGTTTACTAGCTTGGAAAATTGCAGTCTCATTTCCCAAAATTCCGATTTCATAATGTTTCCCCCTGACGTGATGTCCGGTATTTATTGAAAGCTGTTAATTTTGTTGGCTTGCTATGAAATTTAAATAGGTTCTATTTATTTATTTGAGAGACTACGGGTAAAGCTACTCTTATAGTCTTACCGAGCTAGTATTATGTCCCTCCTCTTAAAGACTGGCAGAGCGGAACAGCTTCTACCAGAAGCGTAAGAACGCGGAGAGGAGGGAGAGAGAGAGAGGCGCGGAGACTAGAAAAGAGGGTTGCGGTTAGGGGGGGGGGAAGATGTCTAGACTCTACCCAGTTTAAACAAAATTGCAAAATCGAACTAATTTTGACCTAGTCTGTGTATCACACGGTCACCTTTTAGCCATCTTGTCTGAATTTGATCTACTTTCTGTGTTGGAGACACGGCGTGCAGACGTACCACTATTTTGTTATTTTCTTCGGTTTCAACGCTAACTTTCAGTATTTTAACAGAAACTCATGCAAAAATGGTTAGAGGATAATCCGTATTTTTTGTTATTTCGCACTGAATTGAAACCCTGACGTAGGGCTTTTTCATCTTTTTTTCGAGCATTGTTCATAATTGAGAATGCCTTAGTGCTTTTATTTGCGCATTGTTGGAGGTGGATTGTCACCATCCATCGTTGCGGATCGAGTAATGAGTGCTGAAACGAGTCAATATTATGAAATTTTCGCAATTATCGAAAGAGATGTGCGCAATTGCTTATAGATTTATGTGAGCTTCAATTCGTAACGAGATAATTAGTCGCATAGACACTTCGTTGAAGTATTCTCAACAATCACATGACCTAAGTGCTTTCGATTTCAATTTTATGTGCTTGCAAGCAGTAGTAGTTGGTGGTTGACACTGCTGCCTTTGCACTGCAAATGATTTCTGTCGCACCACTCCAGAATTGATTAATTCTCGTTTCAGCTCCTCTGCAGAAGATACTTCCACGACCGAATGCTTCTTGTGTCACAACGGTTGCCCAATCCGCTTCAGTTGCCTCCACTCAGACTATCAATGTGACACCGACATCCAAGGAGATTCGACACTCCCTACTCTACTCGGTGGCCCAGGCATCCCTGATTGCACAAACACCTGTCACCATGGTAACTCCGAGCCTTGCCAGTGTTGTTGTCACGGCCCCAATCCCCACTGTAATGGTTACACCAAATGCTCCTATAAAATCGAATCCGCAGATTGTCAATGGCAACGGTAATGCGCCGTCTTCTTCTGTACCCGCTAACGCCACCACAGTTGCTTCACCGACGACTTTGACGCAGCAGCAGCCTCCAGCCAACACCTCCGTGTCCTCCGATGAAGGTCATCTTGTTATCTGTACCTCCCCCTCAGAAATGAAGTGAGTGCATTCTCTCTTTCGTACTTCCAACACCTTGCTCATGCTGGGATAGGCTAGGCCAGTAGCAATAAGCACACTCATCTCAATAAATAGCGTTGGGAGAATTCGAGTTTCTTTCCTTTTTCCATATTATTATTATATGCTCGTCTTGGTCTTTAGTGTACGCAATGTTGCAAATTAGAATTGTGGTGGAGCATAAATCTATGTGTTACATTTGAACCTTGTATTGTTATCCTGGTTACTCTCAGGAGAAAGTAAATAAAGTAATGTTTCTAAATGTTCCAATAAGAGGTGGTTGGGGGCAGGGGTGTGGGGGAGTGGGGGGGGGGATAGGTTAATGAGGCGGAGTCGAGGAGGACGGACAAAAGTCAGCGCATGATGGAGATCTTGAGCTTTCCCACCTGTTTACTAGTTTTGTTATTGTGTCATGTCAAATTTAGTTATTTTTGCGTCACCTCTCGAGGGATTGTTGATGTCTCAATCAGAGAATGGGCAAATTTGCTTTACGCTTTTGTGAAGGCATTTGAGCAGATTCGATGTTCTTCAAGTGCAAACTCCTCCTATTGTTAGTGCCGAGAGGAGGTTTATTCCTCGCCAAGATGAATGCTACTGGACTTCCTTATTCAGTATATGTGCGGCCTATGCCTATTATTGCCGGGAGAAAGTCAAAGTTCTTGCGGTTAGGTGGCCTTGAATCGCTCTTCCAAATGTCAAATGCTTAAAGTGTAAGAAGTGCAGTGTTTAGTACGCCTGAATTTGCTTAGTGGTATAAACTCGATTGGCTCCCCCCCCCCTCCCCCTCCCCAAATGGCACAAATGCCTTAAAGTGGGCGTTTTTCTCTGGAACTGTGCAAGGCAACATCCCTGTAATTAGTCTAATTTTAAGAAGAACTAATGAAGATTTATTTATTTCAAATGGCAGGCGTTTTGATAGTTATCATTAGCCCTTTAGTTGACTTCGGCCTTCACAGAGGGGAGGAGGAACATCAAAGTGAGAAGAATTCGGGAGGGAGAATAGAAGAGCGATTCACAGATGTAACAGAAACAGACAGACAGACAAAAGGGCAGAGAAAGGGTAAGATGAGTACTGTGGAAGGGGTCGAAAATGGCATACAGTGGGGTGATGGTAGTTTGAAGTCAGAAGTCAACTGCCAGTCAATAGACTTGTTGTTTGCCGTATGAGTATACGTTGCCCAGGGTGCACCACGTGGAGGTAGGTCTATCGCACACCCCGTTAATGAAAAACTGTTGATTTGATTTTACTTGTGTTATATGCAACTCTTTATTGGAATGGATGTGTACTTCGAATTCACCCAAGTGTCTACTGCAAAAAATATTCCTTGGGCAAAAGGTTAAAAATGTCTAATTCTACTGACTTTTGTTTGACAAGCCTTAATGGAAGGAAGAAGAGGAAATACTTCCAAGTGCTCGCTCACTCACTCACCCCTCCGCCACTCATGTCATTCTAAATCATTCGATTAGTCACGTCGTTTGCAATAAACCTGTGACCCCTAGTCTCCATGTCATCGATGCATGTCATTACTTTGTGCCATTAATGCTGTCTCTCATTATGCCAATATTAGACTTTGGTTAATGTTGTCTTGAAGCTAGTTTACTTAACTACTTTAATTCATCGATGGATTTAATTTGGGTTCTTTTAACGGAGCTTATCTGTCAACTAGGGAACTCAACTGTGAAAATTACTCCAAGATTTTTTTAGTGGAAATTGCGTATGGCATTCGCCCGCTACTTTTGAAAGCACAAACCCAACATCAGCATTGAGTGACCTATACAACCACAGAAGCTAATCTTCCTAATTCCTTTTGACATATTGAAGTTTAAAGTCATTACTTATTTAAAGTTATTTTACTTTTTAGTATATCAGCGTAATCTTTGAAAGGTAGCAGCCACATGCCTTACAAATTGACTTCCCATCTTCGTATATATTTGTACAGTTACACTCCCCTTCCCCCTCCACCCCCACCC